TCGTGTTGGTTCAAAAATATATTATGCAGAACAGTTTAATAATCTTGATCAATCATGTTCATTATGTGAAGGAAGTCGATATATGAGATGTATTAATAATACATGTCAATGTGAAATACATACATATTTTGATGGATCAATATGTCAAAGCCAAAAACTACTTGGAGATGTATGTATGAATAGTACAGAATGCCGAAGTGATCTAAATTATACATGTTTACCACGTCAACAATGTGGTCGTAAGTATTATTAACATGAATTTTAACTTATGACACTTATGTGATTAGGAAAAGAATGATCGATATGCTTTTATCTTATAGCATCATCGATCCAGGTTGGAACGGTTGTTGCCGGTAACGCTAATGGTACGTCAGGAAATGCTTTAACTACACTTAACTTTCCAGCAGCAATTACGATTGGAATTGATAATTCAGTTTATGTATCTGAATATCACAACAATAGAGTCTTACAATTCCAGGAAGGATCTTTAACGGGTTCACTCGTAGCTGGAACGGGAGTCGCAGGTTCTAGTACCAATCAATTAAATGGACCTACAGGTGTATATGTTGATACATCGTTAAATATCTATGTAACAGATAGTGTTAACTATCGAATAATGTTTTGGCAAAAGAATTCGTCATTTGGTGTTCGAGTGGCAGGAACTGGTTCGTCTGGAAATACACTAAGTACTTTTGGTCTTGCAGCAGGATTATTTGTAGATTCACAAAAGAATATTTATCTTTGTGACAAATATAATAATCGCATAATGAGATTCTCACCTAATATCACGAATGCCACAATTGTCGGTGGCACCGGTGTTGCCGGTGGTGGTAGTCAACAGCTCAATGCACCAATTAGTCTTTACTTCGATGAATTAAATTCCTATCTTTATGTTTCTGATTCTAACAATCATAGGATTCAACGATACCATGTTGGTGTTTCAATAAACGGAACTACTGTTGCTGGAGGAAATGGTCAAGGAGCTGGAAGCAATCAGTTGAATATACCATATTCATTATGGATTTCAACAATAAATAATTATATTTATATTACAGATACTGGAAACAACCGTGTGCAACGATGGAGTTTTGGAGCAACATATGGACTGACCATTATCGGTAATGGTGCAATAATTAGAAATGATTCAACATCGTTACAAGGAAATGCGGATATTAGGCTAAGCATTAATGGTAGTAATTTATTTATAAGCGAAGTAACGCATAATAGAATTTGGCGTTTTCAACTCATTTAATATATATGCTCAAAATTATTACATACAAATGAATAAAAACATACATATAAATGTTGTCTTTTCTTGAAATATTTTATTTAATCATATATTTATTGTATATTTTAAAAAACCCTTGTTTATTTACACTTGAATAAAGCATTTTAATTCTATATTTTATATCATTCTGAATACTGCACATCAGCAAATCTATATTATTAAACCATATTGAGAATGCGGGTGTATATCCATATAACGGACTACTGCTTAATCAACTAAGACCTTATGAAAATCATTTAGTTTCATTATCTGCCATCATGAATGACTAAAAGCATATGTTATCAAAAAAGAAACTTAAATATAACATTCTTCACTGACTTTCATAGAAGTGCTATGATTTACATCATAGTATAAGTATATTAAACAGCTGATCATTGTAATTACGAAGAGAAAAAAATAAAAAATTCATTAAACATTTTTTTTATATTTTAGAAAAACAATATCGCAAGTCACTTGAGATGTTTTTCCATTTATATCATTTAAATGAATTTACATTTATTTAATGAATAATAAAAAACACTTTTCCACCTGAGATCTTCATATAATATATATTTTTTATTTTTACTTCATCTCGTTTCTCGAGAACCTTTTAAAAATGAGAAAACAATCATACGAATGCATTTTCTTGTATATTTAAACAAAATCTAACATGATATTTGTCTTAGTTGAAAGATTAGCATTTATCAAAATAATCTTTCATTCAATTATTCTAAAGTGTTATTATAGAAATGTAAAATATTCAAAAGATTGAATTTAATGATTCTATGATATTCTTATAAAACATTTTACATGTAATGTCAAATTAGAAATCAATTTAAACAAGCCTCATCTTCAGATAATATGATGATACTTTTGAAGAAATATAAATTGATATAAATGTTCGTATTTTTTCTTGTATAATATGTTTTATAAATAAACTATTTACTTTACATCTCAGTTTTGACATGTAAATCATGAAGTAGAATACAAAAAAAAGAAAAAACTAATCTCAGATCTTTAATCGACAAGATCTTTCTATTTGGGTGTGGGTGTGAATGAATGTTGGTATTATTCAGTTATTTCGAACCCACACTACCCCACACCGGCACCTCCACTCACACTCACCACATCCGCATCGACACCCTCTTTTTCATTAAAAAAAGCAAGAATTCACACAAGTTGTTGGATTTATTCAAGAAAAAATAAAGCAGTGCACACATGAAAATCATGAATAATTCAGTTATCATTCTATTTGTCCTTTTAATCTTCTTCCTTATGTATTTCTTTATGATATTTTTTGTAATTTCTCTCAACCACGATCAATTTTTGAATATCATCTTCTGTAATAGTATCTCGGAGCCCCTTGAAATAATTCTTTACCGGTCCTCCAGCATCTAATGATTGATCATCGTTGATTTCATCGTTTACATGAACTTCACACAGGCTGAAAGGTAGTCCGATGCGATGTGATTGATTACTTGAGTTCGAACGTTGATGATATGCACGACATGTGAATAGATATAGAAGACATCGTGCTAATGTTTTCAATTGAAGATGAAAAATTTCATAATCAAAGAAGAGTTCGTACAGCATCTTAGTCCGTTGAAGTGTTGCCTGTATTTTCAGTGTTGGAATTTCTCCCACGGCCAAACCTGCATGAATATATTGAATGAAGTAGAAAAATATTAAAAGTATGAACTTACCAATCAACATATTTGTAATAAGAATAGTTAGAATAATTTCGGTTAGGATGAAAACGAAATAAATGACAGGATAATACATGACACCAGTCGGTGAATTATAAAGTCGACTTTCATATCCTAAATCGAATAGACTCAATGCTGTGCGAAACAATGCTTCAAATGGGGTCGCATAAACAGTTTCATATTGTAATAGCATGTAATAAGTGAAACCAAAACCACAGAAAAGTACCATTAAAAGAGGTATTGCTCGAAGTAATTCTTTTAAAATTTCTTCGAGCAATACCTCTTTTA